TCCTTCCCCGTTGACACCCTAAAGCCTTTCAAATCCTAGACCAGAAAAAATCCTTTCAAAGAGGCTTCCTCCATGAAAGGCGGTATGTCTGAATCTTGGCCCTTGTTGATTATATCCATGATTTCACCACTCAACTCTATGTTATTTTTCTCTTCAATCATCTGCATATCCGATTCTGAATGGTAATTTTACGTGATATTGAATTCGGTTTAGGGTTTTGAGACCCTGATTTGAATCACAAAATCAGTGTAGGGTTTCTGGTATTATTACAACCCTGATGCAAATCGTGACACTTTTAGGGAAGGTTAATCGGTGGTCTTGGGATCACTGGGGTTTGTCGAATTAAGACACCTTTTATGTAAACCCCCTCAATTTTCTTGAAGGGATATAATGTGACATGAAATCAAATGTATATGTTCCAGATTTGTGCGAAGAGGGGGAAGAGAGAAGTGGCGACTGCCAATAGGGTTTTTTTTATCTTATGGGAAATTTGATTTGACGAGGAAGGCAACGAGATCAAGGAAAGGGGCTGTCTGTGGGCAGAATCCTTTCAGAGAGGCTTCCTCCAAGAAAGCCGGTATGTCTGAATCTTGGCCCTTATTAAGTATATCCACGATTTCACCACTCAATTCTATGTTATTTTTCTATTCAATCATGTGCATATCCGATTCTGAATGGTAATTTTACGTGATATTGAATTTGGTTTAGGGTCTTGAGACCCTGATTTGAGTCACGAAATCAGTCTAGGGTTTCTGGAATTATTACAACCCTGATGCAAATCACAAGACTTTTAAGGAAGGTTAATCTGTGGTGTTGGGATTAATGGGGTTTGTCGAATTAACATGACTTTTGTGTGTAAACCTCCTCAATTTTCTTGACCTAAGCTAATAAGGGATATCATGTGGCCTGAAACCTAATGTATATGTTACAGATTTGTGCTTCCCTTAATGGTGGGTTACCTTTGGCTTGATAACAGATTTTATGATTAAATATGTCTACATATCCTTTCTCTGATTAAATATATGAATTTCTTGAATTTTTTGACTTGGGAATACTGCAAAACATTGTTGTGAAGTCATGTGTCCTCGGAACAAATTGCTTGCCCATATTACAGATGGCTACTGGCTACTAAGAAAACAGTAGCTCCTAGTAGTAGAATGCTATAGTTAACCCAGATTATGGAAGGCTACTGGCTACTAACTAATAGCTCCTAGTAGTTGAATGTTGTGGATGGCTACAGGCTACTAAAGTGTAGCTCCCAGTAGTAGGCCACAGATGACTACTGGCTTCTATGTCTCTGATTAAAATATATGAATTTCTTGATTTTTTGGACTTGGCGATGCTGTAAAACGTTGTTGTGAAGTCATGTGTCCTTGGAACAAATTGCTAGCCCATATTTCAGATGCCTACTGGCTACTAACAAAACAGTAGCTGCTAGTAGTAGAATGCTATCCTTAACCCACAAATTATGGAAGGCTACTGGCTACCAGCTCATGGCTCTTAGTAGTTGAATGTTGTGGATGGCTACTGGCTACTAAAGTGTAGCTCCTAGTAGTAGGCCACAGATGACTATGGCTTCTAACTCTCTGATTAAATATATGAATTTCTTGATTTTTTGACTTGGGGATGCTGTAAAATGTTGTTGTGAAGTCATGTGTCCTTGGAACAAATTGCTCAGCCATATTACAGATGGCTACTGGCTACTAAGAAAACAGTAGCTCCTAGTAGTAGAATGCTATCCTTAACCCAGATTACGGAAGGCTACTGGCTACTAACTCATAGCTCCTAGTAGTTGAATGTTGTGGATGGCTATTGGCTACTAGTGTGTTGCTCCTAGTAGTAGGCCACAGATGACTACTGGCTTCTAACTTTCTGATTAAATCTATGAATTTCTAGATTTTTTGAATTGGGGATGCTGTAAAACATTGTTGTGAAGTCATTTGTCCTTGGAACAAATTGCTAGCACATATTACAGATGGCTGCTGGCTACTAAGAAAACAGTAGATCCTAGTAGTAGAATGCTATTGTTAACCCAGTTTACGGAAGGCTACTGGCTACTAAAGTGTAGCTCCTAGTAGTTGAATGTAGTGGATGGCTACTGGCTACTAAAGTGTAGCTCCTAGTAGTAGGCCACAGATGACTACTGGCTTCTAACATTCTGATTAAATATATGAATTTCTTGCGTTTTTTGACTTGGGAATGCTGTAAAACATTATTGTGAAGTTATTTGTCCTTGGAACCAATTGCTAGCCCATAGTACAGATGGCTACTGGCTACTAAGAAAACAGTAGCTCCTAGTAGTAAAATGCTATTGTTAACCCAGATTACGGAAGGCTACTGGCTACTAACTTGTAGCTCCTAGTAGTTGAATGTTGTGGATAGCTACTGGCTACTAAAGAGTAGCTCCTACTAGTAGGCCACAGATGATTACTGGCTTCTAACTCTGATTAAATATATGTATTTCTTGATTTTTTGACTTGGGGATGCTGTAAAATGTTGTTGAGATGTCATGTGTCCTGGTAACAAATTGCTTGCCCATAATAGAGATGGCTACTGGCTACTAAGAAAACAGTAGCTCCTAGTAGTGGAATGCTATTGTTAACCCAGTTTACAGAAGGCTACTGGCTACTAACTCATAGCTCCTAGTGGTTGAATGTTGTGGATGGCTTCTTGCTACTAAGGTGTAGCTCCTAGTAGCAGGCCACAGATGATTACTGGCTTCTAACTCTCTAATTAAATATATGAATATCTTGATTTTTTGACTTGGGGATGGTGTAAAACGTTGTTGTGAAGTCATGTGTCCTTGGAACAAATTGCTTGCCCATGATACAGGTGGCTACTGGCTATTAAGAAAACAGTAGCTCCTAGTAGTAGAATGCTATTGTTAACCCAGATTACGGAAGGCTACTGGCTACTAACTTGTAGCCCCTAGCAGTTGGATGTTGTGGATGGCTAGTGGTTACTAGAGGGTAGCTCCTAGTAGTAGGCCAGAGATGACTGCTGGCTTCTAACTCTCTGATTAAATATATGAATTTCTTGATTTTTTGACTCAGGGATGCTGTAAAATGTTGTTGTGAAGTCATGTGTCCTTGGAACAAATTGCTCGCCCATAACACAGATGGCTACTGGCTATGAAGAAAACAGTAGCTGCTAGTAGTAGAATGCTATCGTTAACCCAGATTACAGAAGGCTACTGGCTACTAACTTGTAGCTCCTAGTAGTTGAATGTTGTGGATGGCTGCTGGCTACTGGCTACTAAAGTGTAGCTCTAGTAGTAGGCCACAGATGACTGCTGGCTTCTAACTCTCTGATTAAATATATGAATTTCTTGATTTTTTTTACTTGCGGATGCTGTAAAATGTTGTTGTGAAGTCATGTGTCCTTGGAACAAATTGCTTAGCCATATTACAGATGGCTACTGGCTACTAAGAAAACAGTAGCTCCTAGTAGTAGAATGCTATCATTAACCCAGATTACGGAAGGCTACTGGCTACTAACTCATAGCTCCTAGTAGTTGAATGTTGTGGATGGCTATTGGCTACTAGAGTGTTGCTTCTAGTAGTAGGCCACAGATGGCTACTGGCTTCTAACTTTCTGATTAAATATATGAATTTCTTGATTTTTCGAATTGGGGATGCTGTAAAACATTGTTGAGAAGTCATTTGTCCTTGGAACAAATTGCTAGCCCATATTTCAGATGTGGCTGCTGGCTACTAAGAAAACAGTAGATCCTATTAGTAGAATGCTATTGTTAACCCAGTTTACGGAAGGCTACTGGCTACTAACTCATAGCTCCTGGTAGTTGAATGTTGTGGATGGCTACTGGCTACTAAAGTGTTGCTCCTAGTAGTAGGCCCCAGATGACTACTGGCTTCTAACATTCTGATTAAATATATGAATTTCTTGCGTTTTTTTGACTTGGGGATGCTGTAAAACATTGTTGTGAAGTCATTTGTGCTTGGAACCAATTGCTAGCCCATGGTACAGATGGCTACTGGCTACTAAGAAAACAGTAGCTCCTAGTAGTAAAATGCTATCGTTAACCCAGATTACGGAAGGCTACTAGCTACTAACTTGTAGCTCCTAGTAGTTGAATGTTGTGCATGGCTAAAGAGTAGCTCCTAGTAGTAGGCTACAGATGATTACTGGCTTCTAACTCTCTGATTAAATATATGTATTTCTTGATTTTTTGACTTGGGGATGCTGTGAAATGTTGTGGTGTCATGTGTCCTTGGAACAAGTTGCTTGCCCATAATACAGATGGCTACTGGCTACCAAAGAAAACAGTAGCTCCTAGTAGTAGAATGCTATTGTTAAGCCAGTTTACAGAAGGCTACTGGCTACTGGCTACTAACTCATAGCTCCTAGTAGTTGAATGTTGTGGATGGCTTCTTGCTACTAAGGTGTAGCTCCTAGTAATAGGCCACAAATGATTACTGGCTTCTAACTCTCTAATTAAATATATGAATTTCTTGATTTTTTGACTTGGGGATGCTGTAAAACGTTGTTGTGAAGTCATGTGTCCTTGGAACAAATTGCATGCCCATGATACATGTGGCTACTGGCTATTGAGAAAACAGTAGCTCCTAGTATTAGAATGCTATTGTAACCCAGATTACGGAAGGCTACTGGCTACTAACTTGTAGCCCCTAGTAGTTGAATGTTGTGGATGGCTACTGGTTACTAGAGGGTAGCTCCTAGTAGTAGGCCAGAGATGACTGCTGGCTTCTAACTCTGATTAAATATATGAATTTTTTGATTTTTTTTTACTCTGGGATGCTGTAAAATGTTGTTTTGAAGTCGTGTGTCCATGGAACAAATTGCTCGCCCATAACACAGA